GCCAGTTGGCACATACTTTCACTATAGCGTAGTGAATGAATACATCAGGAACGTTATGGTGTGGTGAGGGAAAACTGTCACACGCAAAACAGACTGAAGCAGTCATCTTCCAAATAAATCCAGCATCCTGTGGCATGATGTTCCTCAGCCGGTTAAAGAGACTCTTTTTGTTTAGTTTGTGTTAGAAAATATTGGCATACTATAAATAAGTCAACGACTCAAAGCACAGCAGAGTAAACAATAAAATGAAAAGAAGCAGGATCTATAGACAGTCTGGGGAATGATGTTAGATTTGCTGGTGTATTTTTTAAGGTTTTGTGTAGCTCATAAATGATGACAGCATAAAAAACTTCAAAACTCCCAACTGATGGTAGGAAGATTTGTTTACCGTTTTTTCATCTTGTACTGTGAAGTTCCACATATTATGTATTCCTGAATCAAATAACATTGAGCTATCGTGATTAATAGAGCAGTAACTTTAGTGGACTGTACTTTAGTGTTCATTTGCATAAAATAAAATATGGCAGAAAATAAAATAATGTTTCTGAATGAATCATATGAGTATTGGTGCATAAATTATTAGGTTAAAATAACAAGATGGACTACCCATTAGTGCTTCCTGTTAGGTATTTTCTGTCAGACAAGATTTGTAATATATGTTTGTACCTTAGATTTACATGGTTGTACACAGGCGCGGATTAACGCACAGGCTTGCCTAGGCTTTATTAGGTTAAAATAACAAGGTGGACTACCCATTAGTGCTTCCTGTTAGGTATTTTCTGTCAGACAAGATTTGTAATATATGTTTTTACCTTAGATTTACATGGTTGTACACAGGCGCGGATTAACGCACAGGCTTGCCTAGGCTGCAGCCTAGGGGCCCCACGTGTGCAGGGGCCTTGGATTGGCCAGACAATTTTTTAATTATTTTACATTTTCTTCAGCACGAACAAAAAAGACCGTCATTGGCCCATAAGAAACATCAAAGGAGGATTCGTTGCAGAGCGTCTGACAAAATTAATGTCTTGTATTGTAGAATGCACGCTCAGCACCGCCGCGAGGTCGCACGATTGTTAAATCGATACCGAAAGTAAAACGCACGCGCATTGAAAAGCGATTTTAATACCCCGCGTTTTGAGAGCGACTCCCTGATGCGCGCAAATTAGGCTACATAACATATCTAGGCTGTTATTAGTATGTAGGCTATAATAGGTTGTGTAGTTGTCTATAGCTCTGCATCATGCTTGAAAAAAATTGGTCTCATTTGCACTTTGAATATAGAGAGCACTTATTGTTCGCACTTAATACGACTAAGAAAGAACTGTTGTTTATTTTTTATTTATTCTGTTTTTATTTCTATGTTCAATTTGTGAAAAGGAGTTCAGTTAGGAGGTCAAACGTTCTAGAAGCTCATAATTCATGTACAGTTCTAAAGTCTGAAGAGACTCGCATGAAATCATACAGGAGAGAAGCCAGTCAGTTGAACAAATCCTTTTACAGTGCTTGAGTTTTGTTGTTTTTACTGCATATGATAATTCATAATCAGAAAATAGAACTGAAATGACATTTATTACAAGATGATTAGTTAAATTAATTTTTCCAGTCATGTATTTGGTCATTGAGAATGTTTTTTAAAAATGTGTAAAAATCTCGTGTCTCGTCTCGTGTCTTGAGTGTCGGCATTAATGATAATCAAACAACAAAAGACAAGGAGAAAAATCACTCCCTGCTCACACAAAGAGCAGCCTAGGGGCCCCTGACCACCTTAATCCGCCCCTGGTTGTACAGTATCTCCTGCTGTCAAGATGTGCTTCTCATAATTTTACCTTAGTAATGAAGGTGATTGTACATTTTGACTGGCATTTCCCGCTGGCAAGATGTGCTTCTCATGTTTTTACCTCAGTTATGTTTTTGACGAGTATTTCCTTCTGTAAAGATGTGATTATGATGTTTTCACCTCAGTTATAGGTGGTTGTACATTTTGACAAGTATTTCCGGCAAGAATGTGTTTGTGATGGTTGTACATTTTAAGACGTATGCTATTTTCTGCTGTCAAGGTGTACTATTATGATTTTACCTCAGTAAGTTGAACATTCTGACTCGTGTTTCCAGCTGACAAGAAACGACGTTTTAACGTTAAAAGTAGTTCGCTTTGAGTGAGAAGCTCGTTACTTCAGACAAGCACGACAGTTTTAATTATCGCATATTCTTTGTTAATGTTTCACTGGCTGCTACAGCAACCGCTTTTAAATGACGAGCCTGCACCGGCTGCTTTTATACTGAGAGATCCGTGGCGCCTCGATCTCAGAAAGAGGGGTGATGCGCAACACGCAATCTACGTATATGGCATATCCGATCGTTTTTTACCACACACAGATATTTTAATCAGAAGTCTGTTGTGCATTTCTTTCGCTTATAACAAACCTAGTTCAAGCTGTTCTGTAAAACAACATTTGTTTTGTTTCTGGACGGTGTCTCTCCCCTTGAATCGGAGTGGATTCGTCCGGGGAAAAGGAAACGTGAAGATCATAACGGAACAGTATGGGAATAAACGCAGTAAGAGTTCCTCATTCATTCCGGCTAATTAAAACTGAAAGACAACAACTACATATTAAAAACGAAGGTTTTGGTTATTTGGAATGTAAAAGGTAAGATTTTCTTTATTTCTCTTTAGTGCGTATTTTCAACTTTTTATTTGTACCGTTAACGATTGTTAACAGATCAATACCATTTTAAAGAGAATTTGAAACCGTATTTTCCGCTTAAAACGATGAAGTATAGCATATTTTACATGAAACATTGTTATGCACTTTGGTGTTGCATAATTACTTTTAAACTTTGCTTTCTGATACAGTCAGATGCAGTGCTTACGATTTGGTTTCTTTCCTTAGAGTACCAAATGTGTCATAATGCCACATTGTAAGTTAATACAAAAAGTGCTGTGGCAGTATTATGGTAAAATGGTTGTAACCGATTGTAGTGCCATGGTACTGTCATAATACCATGGTAATTTGATAAATACTACGGCACTGAAATTCATGTACCACACTTTTTACATGAAATGCCCCAAAATATGCCCTGGTATTACTATGGTACCAGGTCCAAAAACCCTTTGGTAGTGCCATGGTACAGGCGGAGATACAGGCATTAAATATAATCCATTGCACACCAAAATATGTGATTCATATGCATTTTTAATGCATTTTTGTGATTTCTTTAAAAATAAAGATGGTTGATGGCCTCATTTTAGAACATTACTTTATTACAGAAAGTTACAGGTCAGATATGTACTGTACAGTTTATGCATTGTGGTACAGTGTGCACATTTCCGGTGCACTGCATGTGGGGGACATGGTAGGATTTTATTTTGAATATAATCTCAGTCTAAGAATGCAGAACTCATATATTTGGCATTTACTGCTAAGGACAAGACCACAGAGACTTATTTTTATTAAAAAAAAAAACACTGTCCATCTCCGGTGGAGCAGTAACAGGAGTGATCTAACAGTGTGTGGCAGGTTACTAACCCACCATAGGGGTCAGTCAGCAGATTGTGTGATGTGTTGAGCAGGCAGATGGGCAGCCCGTGAGTGTGTGTCTGCTCTCAGTGGGTTGCGGCTTACTGCACTTCCTCCTGTAACATGAACTCGCTCGCATGTTTACGCCTGACTTCCTTACACACGCCTGAAATGCAGCACTACATGACGCCTGTTATATTAACACTGACACGCATGGCTGACTCTAAAATGTTTTATTAGAGACATATCCTGAGGAATCAAGCTTCCTAGATGTTTTAGATAAGAGTTGTTGTACTTTGAAAATATACTGTAACTGTCAGAATGCTAAACTTCCCTCCTAGTGAAAAAAGCATTTATTGAAATTATTGAAGTGGACTTTAGGGGGAAAAACTAAATATATATACATTACCAGTCAAAATTTTAGAATAATTAAGATTTTTTTTTTAATTGTTTTTTTGAAAGAAGAATCTTATGCTTACCTATTTATTTGATCAAAAATACAGTAATATTGTCAAATATTATTATAGTTTAAAATAATATATTTTAAAATGTAATTTATTTCTGCGATGCAAAGTTGATTTTCCAGCAGTCATTACTCCAGTCTTCACTGTCACATAATCCTTCAGAAATCATTCTGATGTGCAGATTTGGTGCTCCATTATTATTAATTATTATTGTTGGCCAATTATTAATCATGTTTCATATTATTATTGAAAACAGTTTTTGCTGCTTAATATTGTTGTCATACATTTTTTTCAGGATTCTTTGATAAATAGAAAATTCATATAAACAGCATTTATTTGAAATAAAAATCTTTACTGTCACATTTGATCAATTTAACCAGTCCTTGTTAAATAAAACGATACATTTATTTTAATTTTTTTTAATCTTACTCATCCCAAACGTTTGAATGGTAATATTAAGCAGCAAAAAATGTAATGATTTTGCATGAATTATGTTAGCACTTCTGTGACTTAATTAAATGTGTGAATGTACTGTGAATGTCCAGTGGGGTAATTTGAGGTGAAATCTTTAAATTAAGGTGTGATCATTAATGCTCATTTCACAGTGGTTTTACAGTAATACTCCAGAGCAGAGCAGGAAAGAGCATGTGTGTGAGAGAGCAAATATGTCATTTTTGTTTCCTATTGTGTCTGATTTATTTGCATTTTTATGCTATCCTTTCTGTGAAATCTTTGCTATAAAGTCCTCATGTTTTCTGTCAACTCTTGTGTGCATGTTTATGTGCATGTATAGGCTCTGTCCACCTAGCACAGTGGTTCTCAAACACTTCAGCTCAAGTAGCACCTCTGATCAACTCAACAACTCAACTTGTTCTCTGATTCAAGAACAAGAAGATTACTCCTATGTACTTCCAGCAATCCCAACTTTAAAAAAAAAATCAAATAAAACATACATTTTTATTTCAGAGTTTGAGAACTGCTGACCTAGTAGACCCCATGACCTTCCTCTGACTTCTAGGGAGCTATCCTGGTTTTCTGGACAGAAGGTTTTTGAAGGAAATCTTCTATAAGTCCCAACATGTCAACACTGAGCTGTCTAACAGGAAGTGCTGAACTTAGCTCAGCCCAGGTGTGGACTCACTGAGCTCTTTGATCTGCATCTGTACTTGGTTCTGGACTCATGTAAGAGTGAGCAGAAGCAGAATCATGTCAGAAACCCTCCAGCTGCCCGCGCTGCAGATCCAGGGCCCGGTAGATGGGGAGTGCAACGGATGCGAGGTGGATTTGGCCCTATCCAGCTCTTCCAGCCCCTCTCTGCGGCGTAAGCGCTTTAAAATGTGCCGTATGAAGAACGTCATGAGCGAGAAGGAACAACTTCAGCGTTCCGGCTCCAAGGAGTACCTGCAGCTTCCGTCCATTGAGATCACGCCATCCAGCGACGAGGACGCAGCGTGGTCGAGCTGTTCGACGCCCAGCACCTCGCCCCAACGGAGACGCTTCCTCCTGCGCAAGTGGCTGAGAGGAGGCGAGAAAAAAGAGCACGGCAGTGAGAGCAGGTCTGTATGAGCACGAGACCGAACTGTCTGAGTCTGAACCCTCCACCCCGACCCCTCTGCGCTGCCTGATCTCAGCACACAAACCCATCCATTCTCCATTCCCGCTGTCCATCATGTTGAAAAAACCAGCATATGCTGCTTAGGTATGTTTTGAAGCATGGCAGCTGGTTTAAGCTGGTACTGAGCTGGTTATAAACTGGTTATGCACCAGCATATGCTGTTTTTTTTCAACAGGGTCTGCACCACTTCATTAGAGTCTTCGTGTGAGCTTGCTCTACTGCATTAGCTGTAGCAGAAAACCTTTGTGTTTTTGTGTGAGTGTGTTTTTTCCATCTTCTCTGGAGGGACTGAAGTCTCTGCTGTGACATTTATAGGCTGGAGGGAAGAACAAGCGGCCGCCTGCTGCTGCCAGGAATGCTGACAGGAGTTTGTCGGGGGACGTCTTAAATATTCATGACTCTCATTGGCTTTTAATAGACAAAAATACGACATGCAGTATATACGTATCTGCTATGACCTGAACATTTACTTCAAGCAGCTTTAACAATAGCTGAAATTAGACTTGAAGTACACTACCAGTAAAAAGTATTGACACACTTGACTGAATTTCTGATTTCTGATTTTGAATATTTATAAATAAATTATTAATTTATAAAATAGAAATTGCTGAAGTAAGATTTGAGATGCTGTGCAAAAATTCTGATTATATTTTCTTTTCTGAGCGAACTATTCTGCTTACCAAGGCTGCATTTAGTTGATCAAAAATACTGTCAAATGTATTATTGTGAAATACTATTACAATTTAAAATAACTGATTTCTATTCTAGTATATTTTAAACTTTGGCAAAATGAATTTTCAGCAGCATTACTCCAGTCTTCAGTGTCACATGATCCTTCAGAAATCATTCTACTAACATACTGATATGTTGCTCAAAAATTATTATTATTTATGTTGAAAACAGTTTTAAACAAATATTTTTGTTATATTATTTATGTTGAAAACAGTTTTAAAACAAATATTTTTTATGAAAACTGCAATGCAATTTGAAGGATTCTTTGATAAAGACTTTAAAGCATTTATTTGAAATAAATTTGTAACAATGTAAAAGTCTTAACTTTCACTTTCAATCAATGTAATGCATCCTTGCGGGAACAAAAAGTATTAATTTCTTTTAAAAAATGTGCTTTTTTATAACTGCATAATTCGCATACTTAAGTTTGTCATTTCATGACTTTACTATCATTCTAAAATGTGGAAAATACTTCTAATAAAGAATGAGTAGGTGTGTGTAAACATTTAACTTGTGGTGTACATTTATGATTTAGAATTTGTATTCCAACGTGTAGCCGGATGTTTGACATGACTGACATGAATCCGTTATCGGCTGTGTACTGTAAGCTGTCAGGTGTTTGCTGGTAGAAAACCCTTTTAAATACACCAGTGTTTACCAGTGTAGGGCTCTGTTATGTTGATCTGTTAGGTTGTTTTCTCACCTGCTTCCTTTTCATGCAGCATGAAAGAACCCAGGGAACCACTTTTGTGGTCAAATGCACAGGATGTTTTTCTGTCATTTCTTTTCTTAAGTGTACTTTGCACACTGTACATTGCACTTGATAATCATGTCAAGGTTTACTGGTTAAATGTGTGTATTGTTGTGTTGTTTGAGTTTATAACACTCTTGTCAAATAGGACATTCTGCTGTCCTCTAGTGGAAAAGACTAAACCTATCCTTAAAATAAACATCAAACTATGTGCACATTGTGTCTTGATCTTGTATGTCTTGTTTGAGCATTTTTTGTTGTTGTAATTAAAAGACATCACTGTGTGTCCAAACTCACCTTCTGTTGTCTCATTCTCAGTACGAGTGAACATCTGGTGTGTGTGTGTGTGTGTTTCTTATGTTGTGATTGTAATGTGACGCTCTGTGTTACAGCAGTCAGCAGAGCAGCCTGCAGAGCAGCCATGAGGAAGAGTCCACACGCTACCTGAGCCCCAACACCCGCGACGACAGGTACACACTCTGGGCTGCTTTGCATGTCATTTTCATTGTCTGTAGGTTTTACATGTTAAAGTATTTGGAATTGAGGCATTTATCTCACTCGTCTAATATTTATGCATTATGCCGCTCTCACCGTAGTTTCCTTATGTGTCCAACAGGGGTCAATGGTTGGTCAGCTCACAATCTGGCTGAACCCAATTCGTATGCTTATAGCTATTAGCTTGTGAACATATTGTGATGTGTGTGGTGTTTGGAATATCGTACTGACAACTAATTAATGAGACTGATTGGGGAACGAGGAGCACCGGGTGTGATCTGTGTATTCAGAGATTGGGGTGAGAAGGTTTAAAAAGAGTGCAAAAGAGAATGGACGCGGGCTGGCTGACGGTCGATTTACAAGCCGAAATAGGACGGCGGTACTCAGATATTGTTGGGAGGGGGATGTCGTTCGCGGTCGTTTAGGGCCGCCGGCGATGAAGATAGATAGATAGCGGGGACTGGGTGAGAGTAAGTAGGGACGGGGAGTTAGGAGTGCCGTCGTTCTTTATGGTGTGTGCTATTTAACTGCTGAGCTGTTAGAGCGTGCCAGCGTATGGATCGTGCCCGTTCTGAACAGGCTTCTATTGCTGTCCTCCCTTTCTGTGGCTGAGACTGTCAGGTGCAGAAGTCCTTGTGAGCGTTAAACTTACGACACGCGGCTCGCATTTCCCATTACGGAACGG